ACGTGTGTGTGGGGCTGTGTGTGTGTAGGTGTGTGTGTACGTTTGTGTGGGGCTGTGTGTGTGTGTGTACGTGTGTGGGGGGGGCTGTGTGTGCGTGTAGGGGTGTATGTGTACATGTGTGGGGGGGCTGTGTGTGTAGGTGTGTGTGTACGTGTGTGTGGGGCTGTGTGTGTGTGCTGACTTTTCCAGGTATCTTCTATAATATTTCATCCACTCAATCGGCATTCATTCAGCTTCTCTTTCAGTAGCCATTCCTGTTTGAGGGAGGGAAGGAAACAATGGATAGATGCAGGCTTGCAGTGTACATCCTGGGTTATTACTCCCGGCTCTGTTTCAGTCTAGGTGACACAGATGACATTTTCATTCTCCTGGAAGCCTACTGTCAATGGTGATGATGTGACCTACCTCTCAGGTTGCCCTGGTATCACCATACCTGCTCACCAAGCCCACTCCCAAGTCCAACCCCCAACATATACACACCGGCATTCTGGTAACCTTAAACCCCAACATCATCCATAAGGAAGCTCCATAAAAAGATCAATAGTCTGTCTTTGAGACCTATACCACATTACCTTGGAACATCAAAATCAGGGTTTATCCTTAGAGTGAGCACAAGGAAAAGACGCCCCCCGGGGAAAGGGAAGCCCAGGGGTAGGCCTGGAGCTGGGAGTAGGATATCCCCAGGCCAAACGCCCCGTCTCGCCTGCTCACCACAAGATGGCATGGTGCAGAAACCCAGAGGGCAAAGGTGCCAGGCTCTTCCCAGAGCTGCTGTTTCTCCTAAAGAGAAACTTGGTCTCTGAAGATCCGCATGCCTCATTTGCTGCACAAAATAGAGTAGCCCTCACGTCTCAGTCTAAGGCATTCATTTGTGGGTTTTATTTATAGCTCTGCATATATTTGTGCACACATAGATACACTAGCCAGGAATTGCTACAGGTACACACACACACACACACACTCACTCACTCTCTCTCCCCCGCCCACCCCTCATGGAAAATCAAGATTTATTTGTACATACATACTGCCCCGTTAAAGATAAGTCCATTCACAGTCCCTAAAAGAAAAAAACCTATTAAGCTTCATTTTCAATTCCAAACCCACTCTAAAAATAAGCCGCTCCATCAACTCAATCGACCTTCAAAGTCATACAAATCAGTGTGGATAGTAAAAATTCTAATAGCTCACTCCCTTTGCTCTTAATTAACCTAAGAATTTGGAAAACAAGAGAACATCTAGCCTCAAGCATTGGTTCCCAAAGCAGCCTGTCTCTAAAAGTATGAAAGTATCTGCCTTGGTCTCTACTCTGTTATTTAGGAATCAGCTGTGGTCTATGCAGCCTACTAAGAGAAAACCCAGCCCCCTGTTAGGCCGTGCGTCTTGTTCAGATAACCTCCAGGAGTGGGGATGAGGGACAGAGAAAATATTCCTAGTGACATGATGATTGATTGATTGCTGTAGGCCCAGAGGCATAAGAATAGGCCAAGAGATGGACCAAGTTAGACGATCCTTTGTACTTCAAAATATCACCTCCCCACCAGCCAAATGAAAATCCACAGAAGGCCAGGCGCGGCGGCTCACGCCTGGAATCCCAGCACTTTGGGAGGCCAAGGTGAGTGGATCATGGGGTCAAACGATCAAGACCAGCCTGGCCAACATGGTGAAACCCTGTCTCTACTACAAATACAAAAATTAGCCTGGCATGGTGGCAGGTGCCGGTAGTCCCAGCTACCAGGGAGGCTGAGGCAGGAGAATCGCTTGAGCCCATAAGGCAGAGGTTGCAGTGAGCCGAGATCGAGGCACTGCACTCCAGCCTGGGTGACAGAGAGAGACTCTGTCTCACCAAAAAAAAAAAAAAAAAAGAGACAGAAAGAAAAAGAAAGAGAGAGAGAGAGAAAGAAAAAGAGAAAGAAAGAGAGAGAGAGAGAGAAAGAAAGAAAAAGAAAGAAAGAAAGAGAGAGAGAAAGAGAGAAAGAAAGAGAGAGAAAGAAAGAAAGATCCCCATTGATGTGATACTTCAAGTAACTACCTCTCCACATATTTGTTTCTTTCTTTCTTTGGATTATTTTCCGGTACATGCCTCCTGGCTTCTCCCCCCTTCCCATCTGTCCTCACAAAAGAAATGCAAGTCCTCTCCTTCCGCCCACATACCCTCTTTATGAAAAAAAAAAGTCCCTGGCTGGGGCTCTCTGGGGCACACGATCTAAGAACACAGCCTGCAATCCTGTTGCAGGTCACAGTGCATGCATTATCCACAGGGTGGGAACATTTCTGGAGAGCACGCAGAGGCCAATGGGAGAAAGGGAAAATGACGTCTGTCTGACAAGCGTTGATGTCTGTAACCACAGCTTCACGGAGGGGCAGCCAACGCAAGAGCAGAACCCTTTGTAGATTTCTTGAGGGATATTTGAGTTTAGAACAAAAAGGCCGTGAAACAAAGGTCTGCAAGGCTGTCATTTCATGGTGGAGGAGGTTGCAGGATTCCCAGGAATTCTGGGTATTAATAAAGGAGATGTCCAAGAAATTTCCAGGCTGGGTCAGCTCACTTCTGTGTCAAAACCATCCCCAGGAGGGTCTTGGTGGCTCATGCCTGTAATCCCAGCACTCTGGGAGGCTGGGGTGGGCAGATCACAAGGTTCAAGACCAGCCTGAATGAAATCCCGTATCTACTGAAAATACAAAAATTAGCCATGTGTGGTGGTACATGTGTGTAGTCCCAGCTCCTTGGGAGGCTGAGGCAGGAGAATCACTTGAATCCGGGAGGTGGAGG